CGACCTCCCCATTATAAGTCAATGGGGAAAAAATCAACTCCCTGTTTTTACCACTAAAACGGGTCGGAATGGCCCCATATACCATACATGACTTCACATACGATCAACCTTCACTACCTTGAGGTCTGTTTTGCTGTTGGGCAGCTGTAAGGTCATGTGACGTCATCAAAGGTCACCAAAGGTTTTTTGCCAATAACTCCTTACAGGAACAAGATACAGCCGCGCGGATGGTCTCATTGTGTTCAGCTCGTCAAGACGCATCGAATGATATACATGATGACCTCGAGGTCACGTGACCTGAGGTCAATCTTTGACCTTGACCTTTCGAGGTCAACATATATATCATTCGATGCGGATCGACGAGAGGATCACGATGATGCCCTTAGTTTGTTCCTATCTTGACTACTTCGAAAGTTATTCGAGAAAAACCCTCTCCATATCTAGCGCCGCCATTTTGACTTTTTCGACCCCTGTGACGTCATCTTTGACCTGACCTGAAAATGACCTTAGTAAAAATTGTAGACCTTGTCCGTGCGTATCCGATGCCGTTTACCGCTTGTCGCTATCTTGCTTCGTTCTCGAGATCTCAGGGGGGGGCGGTCATCCGCCCCCCCCCGTCGGTACTAAGTTGGCGCAGACCCCCGTCGGTGCGCGGGTTAAACCGCAAGCTATGTAGAAATGGAGCCTAAGACCAATTTACATGAGTGGTTAGAAACGGTTCCTGATTAACATTGAGCATGTCTCCTATGATGAGCACGATCATTTGTTATTGTCAAATGACATGACGGACAGGCTCAGTGAATGTCAAAACACATGCATATCGAACAAAAATATGATCACTTAAGGGGCATTCCACGTCAAATCGAACAAAAATCGGCTGTTTTACACCTTACCATCAGCGATTTCATTATAAATTTGTGAGCGAGTTCCTGTGTCGCCCCGAACATTACATTGATGTTTTTTGCACATTCTGACCACAGGTCTTCTAAATATAGGGCATCGAATTTTTACAAAATGTTGCATCCTTATATTTTTGAACGACCATAACTTTGGTTGTACTTGTTTGATTTGAATGAAATAAACCTTACTGTCTAGGTAATTTCTTAAGCATTTGTTAGAATTGCACCTACTTAAATATTTGACCTTGAAGTTTGCTTAATTCTGTTCTTAAGCACAAAAATTGAAATAGCAAAAAACACGTCACCTTCGATTTGGCTAATTTTCATATATTTTATTGCCTACCATATTCTTAACAACCTGTGAAAAAATTAGAGTGGGCCATTCATAAGTTTTGAAGAAAATGGCACATATGCAAACGTATGTTAGCACGCGCAGTGGAGGGGGAAGAGTGAATTTCGCCCCACCCCTCCTGTTTTTCGCCAATATCTCATAGTATTAATGCGAAATTAATTAAAGCTACCTGTCCAAAATTGAATTGCACATCTCATCGTGCAAGCAAGAAGAAAATCGGTTCACAACTGGTCTAGTAATAGCGGTGTAAAGTGAACATCCTGTCGCCGCGGCGACGCGGCGACTCGGCAGCCGGCGCCGACCGCTAGCCGCCGCCTGAATTGTAGACTGTGCCGGGACGGAACGGAACGGTTCCGTCTTTACATGGCGCTCCTTACCGCTGATTACCTTCGATTCGCGTCAAATTTTGTGAGAAGACTAAGAAATGTACAGGCAATCTTATGGTGTAAGAATTTTGATTATCGGTTGGTAAACGATTGAAATATGAACGTGGAAACACAAAATTGTGATTGCTGCGTTTCCCGCGTCGGCCGATCCCGCCTCAGCCGGCGACATGTTACTCTTATCAGGTCTCTAACTGCCATATATATTATTGGATTAACTAGAAATTCCCCATACATACTCAAAAATGTATATTCTTTCGTATAGTGAAGATAAAAAGACGTGAAGATATCGTTGTGTGATAATGTTTTCGTTGAATTTTTGGCTTCATGATGCATTTCCACACGGCTCAAAATTCACCGCAAAATACCGTTTGCCTGAGACACTTTTACTATGGAACTTGAATGCTTGACTACGATGACTATGTATTTCCATTCTCGCAGAGTTTGGGATATCACTAATCAGCAATCATTCATTTCAGAAAGTGTACACATGCAAGCATGTCTTGACTCTGTCTTTCAAGGTCACGCGCAGTTGCGTGATGTTGATGCATGAAAACGGCGTTTGCCGCGAGAGTTATGAATGGCCCACTCCAATTTTTTTCACAGATGGTTAGGAACATTGTGACGGACATAATATGTAAAAATTACCCGAATCGAAGGTGACGTGTTTTTTGCTATTTAAATTTTTCTGTTTTAATTCAAGGTCAAATGCATTTCAAGGTCACTTCAATTTAATTTTATAATTAAAAATCAAAGCCGTATCAATTGCCTACAAGACCCTATTAATATCATTTTGATACCAGAAAAGGAACCAGAGTTATAGACATTTAAAAAATTGATGTGTGGCATTTTTGGCTATATTCGATGACCTATATCTCAGCGATACTTAATCAAATTTCGAAAATATTATACGTAACTCAGTTTTGAACTATGCCCAGTCTGCCTACAAATTTTCAGAAAAATCGAAGGGGATGACGGATTTCGGTGTTTGATTTGACGTGGAATGCCCCTTAAGTGATTAGGTAAATGCAAAGGGAGCGAATTCAATGTTCCAACATTCGTTAGGAGTTGAAAGCACTGCGAATTAAAAATGTAACACGTGTTGGCATTATCCTGCACTACAAATACCCAGCACAAATCCGCGGAATGACGGGATAAATCCCAGGCCCCAGCATACTGCAGGTGATAATCGTCGGCTGGCGGCTTTATATCAGCGGATTGGAACCGTGCTGACCATGGTGCTTCTGTTGGCGGGGAGGGCTCGGCACGGCCGGGGGAGCGGTACCGACCGGGTGCACGGGCCTGTGACACGGCCTGACCCGCGGTGTCAGAGAGCCTATCAGTCCAGCGCTAACCGGCCGTACCTCCCGCCAGCCGCAACCGGGCCGCGTGGGAGGTGGCCGACCCCGAACACGGACTCGCCTTGGCGCTGAGCTTGAGCCGCAGCAGCTATAACCGACAGGCAACAGCTCTGACCGAGCCGGAGTAACTCTGACCTAGCCACAGCAGTTCTGACCGAGCCACAGCAGCCCGGTAAGCCCAATCCGTCCGCCCGTCAGCCCGCCCCCGCTCCCGGCCCGCGCAGGCAGGTCAGTCATTGCAAAAAGGCCGGCTCTTTAATGGCGCGCTCCTCATAGCTGTCGAGAGAGCACGCTTGTCGGCCGGCTGACCGGCGGCAGGAATGCGATATGCAGCCAATTAGGCGTGCCTCTGCTGGCCGGGCGGCGGGCCGGCCGCCGCGAGCAGAGGGCACCTGACGCCCGAGCACCGCCGCGCCGGCGGAGGGCTGGAACGGCACAGCAGCTCGCCTCGAACGGCTCCACACTGGCCTCACGCAGTTATCGGCCCCAGTGCATGTGCTCCACGCAATTGTATCAGACTCGCGAGCAACGTCCAATGACTGATAATGGGGAGTCATTTCATTTCAGATGGCCTGTTGTGTCTGAAGTCTCGTGTTATGAGCTATGAGTATCGCTACCACAGAAGTGGAGTTAAAAGTAGCCCTGTGCGACTCCGAGAGATTATCCTTCTCCTGAGCCTCTCACTCAGGGTTGTCATGGGAAGGCCAGGACTCCGACCAGGACAATGACGATTCTGGTGGTCCGACTGCTTCTCAGCCGGCTCCGGGGAGATTTAGCTGAGCTACCTGTTTTTCAGTCAGATAAACAGTCTCACAGAGCCCGGGAGCCCTGATTAGATTATCGTTGCACTGATTAAAGACCAATCCTTTCAAGCCATCCACTGAATAAGATCCCGTACATATGCACGCACGGCACTGCATGTCATAAGCACGCCAGAGACAGTCGAGATTCAGCGCCTGAGTGCGTGCCGGGGAGTGTTTGACAGGCCGATCGAGTGGAGAGTGAGTGAGCACACTCTGCGACTGAGTGCCACTGATTGTGACCGAGAGTGACGCACAGTAACTCGGTGTGTCAGCCGAGTGGGGCACTCCCTCAGCGCGCGGCGCGGGCGTGACAGGCCGGCTGACGGAAGGATTTTCCCAGACAATGGCAGTGGCACACACACACACAGTCATGGCTTCTGACTGATGTGACAATGCACGCCACATTCAGGGCTTATGCCCGGCTGAGGCCGCAGCAGCGGACGGGGCGGCTCGCACAGGTGTTCCACTGCGCGTGGTTTGAAAGGACCTGCGCGCACTGACACAGTGTGAGCGCTGGGTGCTGATACACCTGGTAAACCCAGCGCTGGGTGCTCAGACACCTGGTAAACCCAGCGCTGGGTGCTCAGACACCTGGTAAATCCACACAAATTAGCGCTGGGTGCTCGACAACTACACAGCTCAGACAAATCGGTGCTGGGTGCCTCGACGTTTGGCAAACCCAGACAAATTAATATGTACTGGGTGTTTCGACGGTTAGCCAGTCCAGACAAATAATAACTGGGAGCCCGACACTCGGCCAGTCCTGGGAAATTGCCACTGAGTGTTCTGACACTGGGCCGACCCAGAAAAGACTGCACTGCTGTCGGAGGCACGCTACCAATCTGACGGTACCCGTCTGGCGAACACGGGTGGCACATGATTTGGGAACTGCGGTCCTGGATTTTCGAGCTGATGCCGAAACATTCCCAGAGAGCTGACATAAAGGAGAGCGTCTCATTCCCACATGGGGCATCCATACAATATTTAGATTTTCCATTAGATGTCGATTGACGCTACGAATGTCTGCATAATTAGGAGAGGCCCAGAATGCCGTTTACACCTGTGCACTATAAGTGTCTGTGTGTGTGTCTGATGGCTACAGGTCGGCCGCAGTCGCCGTCTCGGTACTCACAGCCCCAGTCAGGGTCTTGTGTGTGTGTATGTCTGTGTGTCTGATGGTGGCTGATCGTCTCGGTACTCACAGCCCCAGTCGGGGTGCGCCGGCGCGTAGCCCGCGTGCGCCGCGCCGAAGTAGCGGTGGCCGGCGCGGCCGGCGCTGGCCTCCAGTGTGGGCAGGTAGGTCTCGACGTCCTCGGAGGCGGGCAGGCAGGGCGCCGGCGGGTTCTCCAGCAGACGCTGCTGGTGGTCGTACCAGGAGCGCGCCGCCGCCACGCCGGCGTGCTCGCCGCCGCTCGGGTCGTGCTGCTGCTGGCTGGCCGTGCTCATGTCCATGGCGGTCGGCGGGTCGGGGTCGGTCGGCGGGGTGCGCGGAGACTCGCTCAGAATCACGCGGCGGCTCGGCTCGAGGGGCAGCCTCGCCGGTTTACCCGACTTGGCTCGGTTCGACTCGGGGCGACTTCTGAGAGCCTGCAACAGTTGAAAAAAGGAGTTACACACAGCTCATAGATGAGGTCTGCTGAGATAATAAAATGCGTTAAATCACTGTTCGCCTCATTTTCTATTCTAACGTAATCAAACGATTAAGTTCATGAAATTGAGTAGCCAGATTAAAAAGGGACAATGAAAAGAAAGTGAAAAGACCTGAGCCAATTTCCCGGCACACTTATATGCAGGCTCGAGTCATTCAGCAGCCAGCAGCACCCATGTAACATCTGCACAGAGGTGACAGTTCAACATTCGAGCTCGGTCTGAGACCTGGAACCACGCCAGAGCACAGCGCACAGCACACCTGTCGCAGGGCGGGCGGAGAACTTACAGCGTTCTGCAGACCTCTCCGCCAACTGCTCCGCTGCAAGCCGGCACACCACCAAACGTCTTATCGAGTCCAGAGATCGAGCCCCGCAAAACGGCGTACCTGACGAGCCGAAATCGCACCTCCCTTATCACCGCAGAACAATCAACTGGCTGACTCGGCGTTTGCTCGCCGGCCACCTCGCGGCGCCAGAGCCGCCTGGCGGCCGCCGCCGAAAACACACAGCCGGAGGCGTACTCGCCGCGGTGTGGTTGGGATTCCGGTGCCGCCGCCCAGGATCGATCGGGAGGCGAGACGGACTCGCGACGGAATCTGAACGGCGGCTGGGAGACCGTTTTTGCGCCAACTGGAAACCGAAAAACGGAGTGAAAAAGGAGAAAAATCGCGCGACTGACGCGCCGGACGGAGGTGTACGACACCGCGACCTTCCATGAGGTCGCTCTCGCACGTGCACCACACAGCCTCTGTCTCTCCCTCTCTCCAGGTGCGGTGACGTCACCAATGTCACGTCAGCTGTCTCATCCTGAGATCACCTGGATCTGATATCAGCCGCCGGATTTTTGGCATTTGTCCTTAGATGAGTGGTAGATAGGCCAAATAGTGATGGCATTACCTGGGTGGTGTCACAAAGCCTTCATATCTGTGTTTTTTTTTTCATTTGACTTCTCTTCTCTTCTGCCTTTCTCTCTGTCTCCTCTGTTCTCCTTGCTCATTCCACTTCTGTCTCTCCTCTCCACTGATTCCTGTGTTCGGCTTTCTGCTGTTAGCGTGGTGGCGCTGCTCGCAGTCGTGACACACGGCACTCCCAGCCGTTCGACCGTGCCCGCTGTGAACAGCCAGGGAGCTGTAGTGTCCCCACTCCCACCACCACCAGATAATCCCGCTCGGCGGCCTCCGCCGTACCGACACCTCAGCCCGCGGTGTTCCCGGCACTGTGCTATTACCAACAGCCACAACACAGATACATCACCGTGCCGAGCCGACCACCGCACACTGGGCCGGGGGCCCGGAAAAGTGCTAGAAATTATCTGTGATTGAGTTGTTGATCTCAGTGACAAGCAAACATGCTAAAAACGACGTGGGGCTGCTTAACCCTCGCCGGACCTATTGTCGGACCCCCCCCCCCCCCTCGGCCAGCCGAGGGGGGAGGGTTGGTACGACCCCTTTTTGCCGTTTCGCCCCTAATGGAGCTAGAGCCTCGCGGAAAAAACAAGCGTGTGCGCCGTTTCAAGACAAAACGATTGATACCCGATTTTAAGGTCCCAGGTCAACCGGTAACCTCTGAGGTGAAGTCAAAAAGCCCAAGGTAGGGTTTAGTTTTTGGTAAATAATTTCGCAAAAAATGGCCGCAGAGCAGCGATTTTGGCACCATCGTGTTCGCCTGGCTCAGGCGCGTCGAATGGTATACTTTTTGTCCGGGTGAGGTCAACTTAAGGTGTTGACCTCGAGTCAAGGTCAGTTCAGAGCCCATCAGGCCACGAACTTAATCGAAGGAAGTCGCATTGCATATCATTCGATTCGGGAGGTCTCCCCGAGTCCATTGGTGGCTTTCCCGAGTCGCTGGCTCAATTTGATCATGAGTTATTGACGAGAAACTCCTATGACCGTAGTGACGTCATAAATGACGTCACGGAAGGTCAAGAATGCAAAAGTAAAGCATCAGATCTTGCAAGGAGTGCATGAAATCACGATTCCGAGTGCTTGAGATAGTTTGAGATCATTTCATGCGCAAAAACAACAGTTTCCTTATTTCCCCATCGACTTTTATTGGTGAGGTCACGTGACCTCGAAGAGTAGCAGGCATTAGCAAAAATTGCGAGTAGGGCATGACAGAAAGATGATTAGTGGTTTGTATGGCATGGTCATTTTTAGCGGCTCGAAATAACATTTCTCAAAAAGTCTGACTAAAAAGCAAGTTGTTGTTGATTATCACTGACTTGTGTTTGGGGGTTAATAACGACTGAATTTTTTAGTTTGGGCCAAAATTTTAACAGCATTGTGTGCGTTGATCAATTCTGAGCTCAGGGACATATATTCTATTCTGATTATACGCGTTTGTATTTCAAAACTTCCAGCGCTTTAAAGAGCGCCGGGCCTTCAGTAGAGCGGCGAGGTGACAATTGCCCCTACATCATGTGGTTTACTTGCGCATATCTCGAAAAGTAGCAGGGAAAAGCAGCAAAGCACCTATATGGAACGAAAGATGAGTAATCAGAGGCTAGTATAAAAAGTTCATTTTTAGCTGCTCGAAATCACATTTTTATAAAAGTCTAATTAAAAAATTAGATATGATTTTTAATTACGTCTTGCAGCTGCTTGCAAAAAGCTAGCTTATCTTGCAGAAAAGCGATGCAATATGTAAGAATGATGTTGGCACAGTGAACAACAGTGCCCTAAACTAGTCTGTAAGGAAATTTCGTTCAAAACGACGATTGGTCAGCTAATAAATTACCACTGAAGATCATCATGAAAATCGGTAAATGTGGTGGCCACTAGAGAGTCTAAATTGTCTTGTGTTTGGTGACAACTGACGACCTCAATTTTGACCTTAGGGAAAAACTGGCATCGGAATCGTATTCTTCGATCAATTTGGGATTAAATGATACCTATTTTGTTCATATTGCGGAGAGTCAGTTTGGGGGAATTTCTAGCGCTTTTTCGGGCTGCCGGCCTACAGTGCACCGGGGTCCGACTGAGACGGAGACACTGCAGACACAGTAGACTCAGCACTCACAGCACACACACAACACACACAACAGATACACACGACAGACTCAGCATACACAGGTGGACGGAGCCACATGACAACAGACAGACACTGCACACACAACATACACAGCAGACACAACACACACAACGGACACGACAGACACAACATACACAGACGGACGGAGCCACAACAGACAGACGGACACGGCACGGCACCCACGGCACCACGGCTGAGACGGCGCCTGATTGACGGCCGGGTCTTCCGGAGCTCTCCCGAACAGAGGGCTTATCAGAAGTCCGGAGGTCTCCCGAACAGAGGGCTTACCAGGAGTCCAGAGGCCTCCCGGACAGAGGGTTTGCCAGGAGTCCAGAGGTCTCCCGAACAGAGGGCTTACCACCGGCTCTCTCCCGCAGATGAAGGGATGACCCGTGGTTCGGCCCGTCAGGTGTCACAAAATGCCGGGAACACCGCGGTCTGTCACAAAATGCTGGGAACACCGCTGTTTGTTACAGACTGTCAAAGACTGGCACACACCGCCACGAGCAGCCACGGGATGTCAAGGCTTCCCGAGCTGGCGTAGGCTGTCACCAACTGCTAAGAGCTGGGACGGACAGTTACAGGATGTCACGAGCTGTCACTGTCACAAGCAGTCAAGGGCCGTCTCGGGCTTTCCCGGGCTGCTACAAGCACAGACTGCCACAGGCTGTACATACAGCCTTTTTAATTCCACCGTGGCCTTAGCGGATGTCAGAATGGCTCAGTCTGAGTTAAATGGTTTATTATTAACAACTAGCTGGATATTTTTGACAGCAAATGTTACCCGATCGCTGGCGTGTTTAAAAATCGCTCTGCACTGTTTATTCCGCTCGCAGCCACATGTGCTCAAATATGGCCAGTTTCTGGCGTGACCGATGTTATAACGCGTGGTAATTACGGCGCTTCAGTCGGTGCCGAAAGCTGATCACCAGCTCGGCGTGACCTTCAGCTGTGGCCGTTCCGGAAAAAGTCTGCTTTCTGGGCCTGTCCGAGCGGCCGCTCCATCTGATCCCACACGTAATTCCAGTGCAGCGAGCGGCCACTTTGTGCCCATAAGCCGGCGAGCTGCGGCCAGCGACCGGCGCCGGCACGGCCGCCGGAAAAATCGCCACTAAGTGGCGGCAGGCACGAAGGGCGGCAGCTCTATCGCGCATCATCGCCGGCCAGGCGGCGGCGACGGCGGCGGCCGCCCATAACCGGAGCTCTAATGGCTCGTCGTCACCTCCTCGGCGCTCAGCCGGATTGGGTGAAGGTCAATGGCGGAAAAATGGTCGCGTCCGTTTCGTTAGTATTCATGAATGCAGCGGAGCCGCGTCACTGGCCGCCGGCCGTGCATGCGGCAGGTGTCGACACGGGCGTTTGCCGCCCAAGACCGGCCGCATTTTTACCGCCGATTGTGTAGTCGGCAGCGAAAAACTGCATATCGAAAAGCAGCACTGGCACGATACTGCAGGCTTCTGCTGAGGCGTGCCTCGAGCGGACAGCCTGGCCGCCCGCCAGCGGCGCCGGACGGCCGGCCACCGTCCCTCCAAATCCGAACCTCACCCTGTTTACCCGGCGCCGGCAAAAACAGCGGCCTGCCGGGTCGGCCGGAGAGCGGCGGCGCTGATTGGTCCGTCTCTCGATAAGGATCCAATCAGCGGCGATCCTTGTCGCAGGAATAACGAGGCTGATAAGCGATGGGGACGGATAGAGCGGGCAAACACTGCGGACGGGAGGCGGCGCGGTGGCCGGCGCATCTCGGCAGAGGAAGGGGCCAATGCTGAGCTCAGCCGCCCAACCCAAAAGACCGCACACCATGATTAACACTTCCTTTTCCATTGTTTATAGTAATAGAAGCTGCAGAAAATGAGCGATTTGAGCTTAGCAACAATTTGACACATTAAAACATTTTAGAAATAGAAAATAAAGTAGAATAATGATAAGTGAAGAATACATGAAGCTGATGGCTATCATTGCGCTTCAATGACTTCCTCGATCACATTGGTAGAAGTAAATGTATTGGATCGTTAACATTTATATCACTACTTTACCTACCTTAATAGGATAAGGTGCCTAATTAGCGACCCTTTCCGATTTGCGACCTACCTCCCTACAGAAAAACTGGCAGGAGAAAACGGGGTAAAAACATCGTCAAAAGGTCAGCCATACCTACTTTGGTTATCAAATTAAATTATTTTCCGGTCGTCAATGTTTCTGGTGGGACATTTCAGGTGAGTTTAAATAAAAATGACGAGTTTCTTATCCAAAACGTGTGTGTTTGGGCCCTCTCTGATGAAAAGCGATGCACATTAGGATGATGCACCTTTTTTATTCTGAATCGACATTCCTTTTTCAATTGATTGTCGTTTTCCCATAGTGAATCGCTCAACTGTGCACAGCATGGCGGTTAAAAATGTGTCGCAACTCATATTTCCTATTTGCGCCTGACATGGTCG